GGGGCGGCCATCCCCACGCGGGGGCGTCTGCTCCCTCGGGCCTGGACTCCCGCATGCGGGCCCTTGAGGGGCCGCCGCGTCGCCCGCACCGCGGCTGTCAGGTCCGCCCCCCGCGCCAGCGCGTGGATAGGGCCCCGGGGACGCCCTGTGGCACTGGGGGGGCGGCGATTATATATTTATTGTGCTCTGCATATTGTTCGCGTTGGGCCGGCAATTGCTGTCGGGCCCGACGCCATAGCCGGGCGGCGTGTCCCTACAAATGCCCATCACGCCCCGGGCCGGGTGGGGTGGCTAACCCCTTCGCCACTGCCCCCCCCCCCCCCCCCCCCTGTGCCCTCCCTTCGCCCGGGGCCGGGCCTCGCGTGCCCTTGTGCCCCCCCCCCCCTCTCTCTCTCTCTCTCTCGGCGCGCCTGCGTGTGTGCTTCCTCTTGTGCGGCCTCTGACCTCCCCATGCCGGGCATCGCCTGTGTGCCTCTCCCGCCCCCCCCTCTCCCCCTCTCCCCCCTATAGGCGCCCTGCCGGCCGGCGCGGATGCCGAATCCTCGCTCGATGCCATCTGGTGCGCCCTGCAGCTGGCGGCCATCAGCCCCTCTTCGCGGCATGAGTTCCGCTTCAGCTCGCTGCTGGACAGCACCCGGCTGCACACCCTGCGGAGCTCCAATCTCCTGAAGCGGCGCTTCTGCCTGATGATCCCCCAGTGGATTGAGTTTGGCCTGGACGCGCCGCTGCGGCCATTGATGATCGGGGAGCTGGTCAGCCAGACAGCCCCGGCCGAGGATCTGGCCGTGCGGCTGTACGCGTCGCAGGCCCTGGCCGCGTGCATTGCCGACTATGACTTCGACTTTGAGACGCAATTGCAGCCGTACCTGACGCCGGCTTTGCGGCACCTGCTTGGGCTCTGCCTGGAGGTGAGCTCCCGGTCGCTGGAGGCCCTGGCCACGGTGCTGGCCGTCCTGTCGACCCTGATCGAGGCGGTTGGCGCGGCGCCCGCCTCGACGCCGGTCCTGCTGGAGCATGTGGACGCCCTGCAGGAGCTCCTATGGGGCTTGTGGTCGTGGGCCACGGGCTCCAATGGGGCGGCGCCTCCCGGGTCGGTGGGTGGTGTGGCCGGCGGCCCGGCGGGCCCGGTGGCGGCCCCGGTGCCTGCCGACTCGGGCCCCGATGGCGGGGCCTCGCATGGGGCCGCCATCCAGGTGGCGGTGTTGGCCTTTGTCGGGAAGACGGTGTCGGCCCTGTCGCAACATCGGACCATGCTGGCTGGGTTGCGGCCGGGCCCGGAGACCGCGGGTGCCGGGGCGGCCGGGCCGGCCTCTGGAGCCGCGGTGGACCGGCCGCTGCAGGTGATCTTGGATTTCTGCGTGCGGGAGCTGATCCCCCGGTCGATCTTGGCCCCGGCGGCCGAGCAGCAGCAGCAGCAGCTCCTGGAAGAGGGCACCTCCCTGTGGCTGACGGTGATGGAGGCGTCCGAGCAGCTGACCGAGCCGCTGGGTGCTCTGTTTGCCCTGCTGGTGCCGATGCCCACGCCACTGGAGCGCTTTTTCGAGGGCCAGCACCAGGTCGAGAGCCCGGCCCTGGTGTTCCATGACAGTGAGAATGCCGAAGTGGCCATGTCCATCCTCCGGGCATATGTGCACTTCCGGGCGCCGTTCCTGGTGCGGGCCGACTCGCCGGCCGGGGCCGGGCTGCGCAATGCCCTGGCCGAGCTGCTGCGGCTGTATGTCATCCAGCCGGGCCTGGCCCTGCGGGCGCTGGATGCGGCCACGGCAGGCGGCCCGGACGGGGCCCCGCTTGATGAGGCGGCCGCCGCGGCGGCGGCCGCCGCCGCCGCCGAGACCGCCTCCGACGGATCGGTGGCCGCGCGCGTGGCCCTGGTATCCGGCGTGGCCCAAGTCCTGGAGGCACTGATGCTGTCGGTCCTGCTGGGCCCGCACCCGGGGGTGGCCCCGGCCCTGGGAGGCGGTAGCCCGCCGGCCCTGGGGCAGTTTGTGGCTTGGTTTTCCCACGGGGATGCCACCTCGCCGAGTCTGCTGAATGTCCTGCTGCAGTCGATTGACATCTCTTCGGTGCGTGCGCCGGTGTGCCTGGCTCTTGTGTGTGTGTGTGTGTGTGTGTGTGTGTGTGTGCCGCCACCGCCGCCGCCTCCTTCCTGTGTGTTTCTCTTGTCTTGCTTCTCCCCATGACTGACGCATGCGCCCCGGCCACCATCGGCAGTCGGAGGCCCGGCTCTTCCGGCCGATCCTCCTCCCCCTGGTCGCGAGGCTCTTCCTGGAGTTCGGTACCTGGCCGACGGCCTACCGTCTGGCCGGCCTGGCCGACACGTCCAGTCCGCACCTCGCCTCGCAGGCCCTTGTTCACTTCATCACTATTGTCCAGGACTCCGTGCGTTGCGCGATGTGCATGTGCTGAGAGATGCCTTCTCTTCATTTGTCTTTCGCCATGCTCCCCTTTCCCTCGAAGCACGCACATGCACGCATCCACATACCGGCGTACAACACTGACACGCACACTCGCACACTCGCACACTCGCACACTCGCACACTCGCACACTCGCACACTCGCACACACACACACACACACACACACACACACACACACACACACAGTGGGATAGCCTCTCTACTCCCTTCCAGTTCCGACTTCTCGGACTTTTTGCCATCCGCCTGGCACAGGACATCCTCCTGCCACCGGGGGCCCAGTCGGCCGAGGTCCAGGCGATGCCGCAGCTGCATCGGCTGGTGGAGGAACTGCTGACCATGTCGGCCAGCTCCATCTCCTTCATGCACCGGGCCCAGTTGGAATCCAAGCGTGAGGCGGCCGACCGCCGCGGCGCTGTCAGCGCCCTGTCCGGCGCCGGCGCCGAGGACAATTACGCCAACGGGGAGGACGACGAGGAGGACGACGACTACTACCATCGGTCGGCCGCGCCGACCCCTAATGCCATCCGCCAGGGCGAGGTACGGCCCCTTTTCGCCTGGCTTTTTTTTTCCTTGCTCCGCATCCAGCCGCGCAATCGGCCATCCTGCCAACGACGACGGTGGCCACGGGGCGACACGCTCCCCCCTCCGGCCCGGCCACTCTCCTGGCCTGTCGCGCCACGCGCCCTCCTCTGCCACCACTCACACATACTGCCGCCAACAACCCGCACGCACACACACACCATGCAGATCGCCCAATCGGACCAGCTCTCTTCACAAAGTCTGCGCACTTCGCTGCTCAGCTGCCTGCGCGTCCTGGTCGCGCATGAGGCCCAGCAACGGCAGCAGTCGCAGGGCGCCTCCCCGGGCGACTCGGTGTACGACATCATCCTGGCCAAGCTCGAGGAGTCTTAGTGGGGGGGCGGCCACGCTTGCGTGCTCGTCACCCTCCCCCACCCCGCCACCCCGCTGCCCGCCGCCGGCCAGCCGACTGGCTTCCTCCCTACCCCCCCCCACCACCACCACCACCACCACACGCGCGGCCCCCCGCACATCATATTGTAAGTAGAATACACCCATTCTCCGGAGCAGCATCGCGTGTCCGTTGGCAGCTTGAGGGGCCGTTGCGGCCTCCCCCTCTGCGCGCGATCCCGCGCGCACAGCGAGCGGGCGGCGCGCTCTTCCCTGGCGCGTCCGTCCCCCCGGCCCTGGTCTCGAAAGGATGGCCGCCTTGGGACCGCACGCCCCCTCGCCCTCCCGTGTCCCTCTACCAAGCAGCGGCGGCCCAAATGAAACCCCCAGACCTCCGAATCGGCCGCACGAGTGGCATCCCCTCCCCCTCCCCCCTCCCCTGTTAGTGTCCCTCTTCCCGGTGTCCCCGCGTGAGAAGCGAGCCAGGCACCGCTCTGTTGCCCCACCCTCCGCCTCCTCCGCCCCCCTTTCCTAGCACCTCGGCTCTTTGTTCCCCCCCCCCCCCCCCACCCACCCCTCGCTGGCCCCCCGTGGCGCGCGCGCACCAGTAGTGCGCGCGCTCGCGCGCGAGAAAGGCGCCAAGCAGGTGTGTTTGGCCTTTTGTCCTTGTGATGTTTTTTCATTTTCTCCGCGCTCCATTTTCCATTCTCCTCCTCATCGTGTGATTATGGCTCATGCCTGGGCTCTTGTCTTTGCTCATGCTGTCCCTTGTGATGTCCCTCCTCCCTTCTCTCCTTTACTTCCTGTCCCTTCTTCGGTGGCCCTTTTCTCCCTCACCCCCCCCCCTTCCCCCTGCCTCCCTCTTTCTCTCTCTCTCTCCTCCCCCTCGCAGCCTCTCTGCCTGCTCCCCCTGGACGCGAGGCCCAGCGCCCCAGCGCCCCCAGCGCTCATGATGTCAGCGGACCCCTCTTCACCGGGATCCCCTTCCGCCCGGCGGTACAACTATGAGATCGACGAGCGGATCCTCTGCTACCACCACCAGCAGATCTACGAGGCAAAGGTGCGCCTGTGTGCCGGGCTGCGCACGCACGCACGCACGCACGCACGAGCAAGACATTGACATCCTCCTGTCACGCCCTGCCCGTCTGGGCGCACTCCACACCGGGGGCCGGCGGGGGCTCCTTGTTGCGGCGCTGCCCCGTCCTTGCCTTTCTCTCTCTCTCTCTCTTACTCTTTCCCTTCCTCGCCATCTCCCCCTTTGCCTGGCGGTAGATTCTCCGCAAGCGGTGGGTTGATGAGAATGTCACCAACGCCCAGCACATGAGCCATGTGTATGGCGGCCAGGCGCTTGCCACCGGGCCGGACTATGGCCCGCAGTATTTCATCCACTACAAGGGATGGAAGGCCACCTGGGACGAGTGGGTCCCGGAGAGCCGCATCATGAAGCTGACCAAGGAAGGCCTCGACCGGCAGGCGGAGTTGCTGCAGAGTGCGCACGCCGGGCTCGGCCCCCTCGCCCCTCGCCCCCCCCCCCCCCCTCCCTGCCCATGGACATGCACATGACCCTCCTCCCCCCCCCCCCCCCCCTCCCCCCCCCCCCCCCCCCCCCCCCCCCCCCCCCCCCTCCCGCCCCCTCCCCCCCCCCTCGTTCCCCCTCGCCCTTCTCGAAGCTCTTCCGCATGGTCAATCACCTGATCGGGGTGGCGGCCCGACTGGACTCGGCCGAGCGCTGGCCCAAGCTGGTCGAGAGCCTGATCGAGGGCCTGACCCGGCAGGGGGAGCAGCTCCGCGCGGCGGCCATGGCCACGCCGGCCGATGCCGGTGCCCTGGCCGGGGGCTTCGTGCGGCAGTTCCGCCTGGTGTGCGTCCTCGCGCGGGCCATCAAGAGCTTTGCCAGTCAGCCGCTGGCCCGGCGCCGGGCGGCCTTCGGCCCCTATGTGCCCGGGCTTTTCCAGCTGCTGACGCAGTTCTGGGAGCCGGGTCTCATGGCGTACCAGGCCATGCTGGCCGGGCAGCTGCCCGCCTCCGGCAGTGCCTTCCTCTTCCTGGGGGCCGGGTCGCCGGATGCCCTGCTGGAGCTTTGTCGCCGGGCTCTCAAGGCCATGATCAATCTCTACTTCCACATGGATGCGGCGGCCGGCCTGGACCTGACGCGCGGCTTCGTGCGCAGCCTGGCGCAGGTGGTCAAGTCGGTGATCAGGAGCTGTGCGTGGGGGTCTTCCTTTTCTTCGCCTCTGCCCTCGCCGCCGGGGCATCTCGCTCTCCCTCTGTCTCTCTCTCTCTCTCTCCCCCCTCGCTTGCTCGCTCTCCAGCCCCCCTTGCACTTCTCTGTCCTCCCGACTCCTCCTCACCCCTCGAATGGCCTCGTGCTCACCCCCCCCCCCCCATCTTCCCGACCCCGGCAGACACCGAGACTGGGGACATCCCCGACCGGATGCTGGCCATCATCACGCGCATCGGGGACTTCATCTCGGCCTGGCAAAGCAAGCAGCCGCTGGACTTCGTGGTCCCCCTGGGCGTGGTGGACGAGTTCGAGCCGATCGTCGACCCGGCCCAGGCCCGGAGTGCCTTCCTGGAGCGCTATGCCGGCAACGACGAATTCGAAGTCCTGTCCACGCTGGCCTTCGACATTTGCTCGCTCATGGCCCTGTCTAAGGATGTGGATGGTGCGTCGGGTTTTCGGGGCGATGGCCCTCTTTTGCGGCCGCTCGTCGGTGCCGGCCGGAGTCTGACCTGCCTGCCATGTGTCCCCCCC